TCTGCGTCATTACTGCGTTCAGTCATCACTGGCCCTCAGAGGCGGGTGCTGCTCCGGGGAGGAGAGAAGCCAGGTCACACACATTGATACTCCACAGTCAGTGGGAAGTCAGTCAGGATTCTCCTGGGTTTCCTCCACTGCCACAGGCCACACACTCTGTGTATGTAGCCTGACGTCAAATCAGAAGCCAAATCTGAGTGTGTAGAGTCCGTGAGGAAACCTAGATTCATCAGCGGGATGAGTAAACCTTGCCGAAGAAGGAAAGCTGACTCTGTGTTGGTCTTTGGCATTGTCTCCATTCACAATTTCAGAGAGCTCCGGTAAGTGGTAAGGAGTTGTGCTGCCAACCCAAAGGCGTACAGTTCAATTCCACCAGCAGCTTCAGGAGAAAGGTGGCCAATCTCTTCCCATGTGATTTACTGCCTCTGAAAACCCACTAGAGGATCAGCTACGAGTGGGCTCTGCCTTGATGAGACATAACAACTTCACAGTTTCAGTCAGCAACATCTCTTTCCTTTTTGGATCTCATGTGCTCCCCCAGTCTCCTAGGTTCTCTTGTATTCAGGTTTTTGATGTCTCTTCCCCACAAATTAATAAAACACGCTAGTCCTCTGACCTCCATCTTCTACTTGTCTCTATCTGCTTCTCTTTCAAAGACAACATGTAAGTTCCAACTCAGAGCTCATCTGTCAAGTCTAGTATCTTGATGTCATTTCACCCCAGTACTTTCAGGGAAGAGTTTCCCTCTCTTCCGCAAGGTAAGTTTCTGATGGTCAGGCAAAGTAATTTACTTATCTACTCTTTCAAATATCCTGATTTTCTGTCTTCAAAACAGGTCCTGTCTTGTCTGTTATCTCCACTTCAGTCCTCACTATTGAGCTAAGGTGTTTTCCTGTGTGTTGATGAGTCAGTTGTGACTGTAAAGATGCTACACAAGAGCGGAACTGCCCCAATGGTCTCCTAGGTTGAAATTTTCACAGAAGCAGATTGGGAAGTCTTGTCTTCTTGTGGGACCATGAGTGAATTCAAACCACTGATCTAGTGGACTGCCAATTGAAAGGCAAGTGGTTCAAATCCACCAGCTGCACTGCAGGAGTTGTTGTTTTTAGGTGCCATCTAGTCGAATATGACTCATAGTGACCCTATGAACTAAAGATCTGAATCTAGTCCTGTCCTGCTCCATTCTCACACTTCCTGACACACAAGAGCCCACTGCAGCAGACATCATGTCAAAAAACCTGGTTGAGGGTCTTCCTCTCCCTCACTGACCCTCCACCCTTCCCAGCATCATGTCCCTCTCCAAGAAACAGCACCTCCCAGCAATATGTCCAAAGTATGTGAGGCAAAATCTCATCATTTTTGCCTCCAAAGAGCACTCTGGCTGTGCTTTCTCCAAGACATACCTATTAGTTTTCTTGCCCGTCCAGGGAATGTTCAGTGTTTTTCTCCAACAGCTCACCACAGCTCAAAGGCATCAGTTATCTTCTCCTGTGGGATTTACAGCCACTGAAAATGGGCTAGAGGGTCAGCTGTGAGTAGGTTCCTACTAGATGGCACATGACAACAATAATAACAACCTTGAGTTAACAATCGAGCGTTTAACCATTGCATCATGAGGACTCCTTTCCACCTAATTTATTCTCAACCAATCCACAGTCTTCATGCACGTGCTTCCTCTCCCCCCAAATGATTGCTGTTGTTATGTACTGACTCAGAGCTGACTCTCCAATGGGTTTTCAGTGGCAGTAGATCATGAGTCATACAGGAAGAGATTGCCCACCTTTCTTCCATGGAGCAGCTGGCGGATTCAAACTGCATTCTTTAGGGTTGGCAATGCACTCTTTTATTACTTATTCACCAGAGTTTCCTATTCATGTTGTTGTTGTTAAGTGCTGCTGAGTCATAGACAATTCATAATGACCATATGAACGAAAAACCTGAACACTTGTATAACTTCCATCCTTTCTCCAAGTTCACACAGAGTTTCTGGACGCAAGCTATTTCGGAAGTGGATGCCACTCCTGCTTCCAAACCTGTTTTAATCGGGGAGCTCCACCAAACACTGTCCACCATGGGTAACCATTATCATTTGATACATCAGTGTCACAGTGTTCAGCATCACAGCAACCATGAGTTACTTCTGTACAGCAAATAGACAGACCAGTGCTATACCACTTAGAAGAATGTTTTACCGAAACCAACTGAAACCAGTTCTGAGGGCCGCAGATTAAAATCACCCACCTTTGGCTTGGTTGCATCACTTTCTATCTACTAGGCCAGCAGAGCTCTCTTGTTCCCTATTCATAGGCATTTCATTTTATCCCATCAGCTCTACCCTCGTCCTCCTTTCCTTCTGGAAGGTGATGAGGATCTGGCCTTCCTGAAAAAATCCTTCTAGTGGGTTTACGGATCTCCCAGACTGCTATCCTTTCCCCATGTGAATGGCAAACAACACTATCAGTCCCCAACAGTTCTCATCCACTCCCTCCCTCTTCTCCCAGCAAAACTCCTGCATTCTCTCATCAATCCCCCCGCTAACTTTTGAAATCATTGAACTGTGTGCTGTGTTGACTGTATGCACCACTCCATGAATGCATGAGTGTTGCATGTGTTTATCCATGTTGGGGCCCATTTCTCTTTCCTCTGGGCACAATCCCATTTACCTGTGCAGATAGAACACATGTGCTGATGCATGGCTCTATGTGGGCCTAGTCCCCAAAGCCTGAAAGGAATATAATAATATTTTTATACTTTCACAATAGCTGGGTTTACAGTCAAGAGTAATAATTTGAGTTGGTAGAGAAGAAGTGTAATTTGCTCTGTACTAACAATGAATCAGATAAATTATGGGTCTGACATTATCTGAGGTCTGATTTGTACATAACATTATTTTTTTCTGAAGTTGTAACAGTAGGTGTTGCTGCAAAGCAGTACAAGTACTGTAAGTACTATTTGAGATAGAATGGCAGGGCTGAAACATTCATAAGAGCTTAATGTAAGCAACTACATATTTTTTAAAAAGCTAGTATGAAATAAGTATAATGGTGTTTAAAATAGCAAACTAAACTCTTTTTTTATTCTATTATATGGGTTATTATTTTTTTTATTTTCCACTCATGGTCTATGTAAACAGATACAATTTTATTGCAAAATATCATCCCTGTTAAAAAATCCTCAACTCATTGTCTTAGATTCTGGACTGGTTCATAGCTGACTTCCAGTGGGTTTTCAGAGTTGTAACTTTCAACAAACAGATGCTGCCCTGGATGTGTTTACCAGATTGTGCCAAGACATCTGGAAGACAAACACCTGGCCAAATGACTGGAAAAGATCCATATTTATTTTCATTTAAAAAAAAGGTGACATGAAAGAGTGTGGAAATTATCAAACAATATTAATATCACATGCAATCAAGATCCTGCTGAAAATTATCCAAAAATAACTGGAACCACTACTAGCAATACCAACTGGGTTTAGAAGAGGTCATGGCACTAGAGACATTATCGCCAATGTCAGATGAATCATAGCAGAAAGCAGAGTACCAGAGGAATATCTACCTGCGTTTCATCGACTACACAAAGAAATTTGACTCTGCGAACCAGAACAAATAGTGGTTAATCTTGCGGAAAATAGGAATCTCAAAACCCTTGATTGTTCTCATGTGAAACCTATACTGTGACTAGGAAGTAGTCTTTACAACAGAGCAAGGAAACACTGTATCGTTCTAAATTAGGAAAGTAGTGTGTCAGGGGTGTATCCTGTCTCCAAACTTTTTCAATCAGTATGTGGAGCAGATCATTAGGGAGGCTGGACTTTATAAGGAGGACTGTGGTATCAGGATTGGAGGAAGACTCATCAACAACATGTGTTATGCAGATGACACAACTGTTTGCTGAAACTGAGGAGGACCTGAAGCCTTTGTTGAAGAAGGTCAAGGACTGTAAACGTCAATAAGGATTGAAGCTCAACATCAAGAAAACAAAGATTCTCACCACTGGGCCAATTGGCAGAACCATAACAAATGGAGAAGAGATTGAGATGGTTAACAATTTTAGCTTGACTGGCTCACAACCAATAGTCTTGGCACCAGCAGTCAGGAAATCAAAAGACAAATTTCACTGGAGAAGTCTGCTGTCAGGGACCTCTCCAAGTGCTAAAGAGCTATGATGTCAGTCCAGAGATTAAGGTGCCCCTGATCCAGGCCATGGTCTTCACAATTACCTGCTATGGATCAGAGAGCTGGATAATGAATAAGGATGACAGAAGAAAAATCTATGCCTTTAAGTTGTGGTTCTGGAGAAGAGTATTGGAGTGTCACAAAAACAAGTAAGTCTATATTGGAAAGGATGAAACCAAGTTGCTTTCTGTAGACCAGGATTTTGAAGCTCTGTCTCACATACTTCAGGCATGTAGCCAGGGGGGACCAGTCCCTAGAGGAGAACATCATACTTGGAAGGGTGGAGGGACAACACAGGACAGGAAGACCCCAGATAAGATGGATTGACACAGTAACTGGGGTAATGGTAAGTGTATTGAAGATAGTGAGACTGGTTTAGAACAGGGCAGGGTTCAGAGATACTGTACACAGGGTCGCTATGAATTGCAGCCGACTTGATGGCCGACAACAACAACAACAACAACAACAACAACGACGACGACGACGACGACGACAATTTACACAGCAGAAGTTCAGCCATCTTTCTCCGTTGGAACTACCAGGGGATTCGAACCGCCTTTGTTTAGCTTGGCAGCCCAGCAGGAGAAAAATGTAGTTCAGTATGTGAGGGAAGAAGCAGCCAAATACATAAAGAAGTTATAATCTATTTGTGGATGTCTACGTTTTCCTAAAGTTGTCAAGTTCGGTGCATGTAGTACTTTTATTGGAGGCACCAACTCAAAGAGGACATTCCAGCGGCTCCCGCATTGGTAGTCTCAGTAAATTACTCCAATTAAGCCGAAGTGGCGTTGGGCAACAATTCCTGGAGGTTGTGTTCACAGACGAGAACTGGCAGAGGGCGGGGTCCACCATCTCCTTCATGATGACGCGGGTCCCGGGCCAGGCAGGGCTCGGGCCGCCAAGCCGAGCGGTGCGGGAAGAGCGCGCTGGGCGCCGCGGGGGAGCTCGGGCGCCCCGGGTCCCGTCTCCCTGAGTTCCAGACCCGGCCCGCCTCCCCTCGACCCCCAGCCGCCCCAGCCCGGGCAGGAGAGATGGGAACAGCGCCAGCTGCCTGGTCGTCTCCAAACATTTAAAGCCCGCAAGTTCCCTTCTCCAAAATCAATGACTGTTGCCACGACGCTAGGAGGAAAGGCGACCTCAGCTTGGGGAGTTTAAGGACCCGGGCTGGAACTTGGTGAGTTCTGCTTTAGGTGCACTTTGAAATGAATCTGGGCTTGGAGCTAAAAAAGACTACCCAAACCCCAACTCTTTGGGGGCGGGGGGAGGGAATGGTCCCAACTCCTCACCGTCGTAGTTTAAAAATGTTCAAGAACAGACTGAATTCTTGCTGTATCTTAGTTTCTTTGTTACTTCGCCGTCTCCACCAATGCAAGGTCTGACCTTTTAAGAGTCGCCAGCCGGTAGGGATCATCCGGGAACCAAGACTTAAGTCAGAATTTACCTCCCGTATGGGACTGCTGTGTGTGCCAAAGAATTGTCTGTTAGTGAGAAGCGGGCTGAAAGCAGTTGTTTCATATGGATTTAATATGTGGTTAAGCGTACGATTTTTTCCCCCCTCTAAAAAAAAATAAATTAAAAAACAGCTCTCTAGCCAAATGCATTTAATCTGGGGCCGAGCCCCCTCGATGGGTGGGGAGATTGGGAGGTCAGCCTGGACTCAGGATGGCTCGCTCTTTGTGCCGGGTTGGGGGCGCGGGCTCGCCCGCGGTGGACTCGGGGGTGCTCGGAGCGGGGGCTTCAGGCGGCTCGGCCTCCGCCCCGCCCCCGTCCGGCCCGCAGCCCAGCCGCGCCTTTGGTTAACTCCGAGGGGCCGCGCTGGACCGGGCGAGGTTCCTCTGTCTGGTGGGGAGGAGGAGGAGGCTGGGAGGAGAGCGCACGGCGGGATCCCCGAGGAGCCCCAGGGCTGGAATGTGTGCTGGAGTCCTGGAGGCGCGGCTGGAGCAGATCCCGAACCGCGAGCGGCCGAGCTCCTGGAAGCCGGGAGGCCCGGCCCACCGCGGGGCGAGGTCGGCCTGCCGCCCGTCCGGCAGAGCAGCCGGGGAAGCAGGGCTCGTTTGTTCCTCCCCCGAGTGCCTTTGTTCACTCGGGCTGGCCGGCGCGGGCGCCTGCCTGCTGTAGCCCAGGACTGAGCTGCCCCTCCTGTGAGGCAGGTAGGCTGGGGCGCCCCGAGCTCTGGAAAGGGCTGGGGTGAACAGTTTCCCGGGATCCGCCCGGCTCTCCTTCCCCCGCCGAGGTTCAGCGTGGCCGCAGCTGCTCAGCGATCCAAGATCGGCCTGAGCGCCCCAGGCGGATTGCACGCCCTGCGGACCTGTTTCTGATGGGGGACTCCAATTTCGCTGCCACCGTTAGTTAGAAAGGCTGCGTGGGATTGGAAATGATGAACCCGCAAGACTGATGATGATTTCGGTAACTTAGTGGCTGGAAAAAGAGACAAGGAAGTGGGCACCAGGGAAGACTGGAGAATGAAGAGCTAGCGGGTGTGTGGGAGTTGGGTGGAGGGACCTTTGCTTTTCTTTACTTTGGCCCTGCCTCATTTTACTTTGCACCCTGATGTGACAGTTAACTTGCCTGTTCAGATACCATATAGGCAAGAGACTTCTAGTCTGACTCCAAGTACACATCAATGTCGTTTCCGTGCTATTGTTGCCTTTCCTAGATTGTAGACTATGTTAAAGGACACCGATGCTGTAACCTCACAGTGGCTGGGGATGGCTTGTAGCTCATATTTAGGATAATACTCTGATGAAAGTACATCTATCAGAATTGGACTTAATTCCTCTGTGCCTTTATTTTGGGAAACTTTGCTTGGTCCCTGTTGGGGAAGGGAAAAGGGAGGTGAGAAGCTGAAACTGACCCAGAAAAGAATGATTGAAAATAGTTGTATTATTAAGTGGTGGCCCTGAAATAATCCCAGCCTGGACTTTCTGAAAAGATGATCTGGTGACTAACAGCTGAGGTTTAGTTTTCTTGAAAGAAGTGTACGCTAGATTTGTTCTTTTATCACAAAAGGGGGAACTTTTTTTTTCTTTTCTTTTTTTGCCAACTCTTTTCACAGGGCAAATTCAGAATCTGAAAACGCAAATCTCATTTGGTGTGGAGTTGAAACTAATTCAGAGCTCACTCCTCAGCAGGTTTCTGAGGCTGTAAATCCAGCAGGAGGAGACTTCCTGCCAGCGGCCCTGGTGGGTTTGAACCAGAACCTTGTCCTATCCTGTGCCATACTCAAGTCCCCTGTCGGGCTCCAGCCCATTCAGAGCTCCACCTCCTCTCACACTTCCTCTCTCTAGGCTCTCCACGTGTAGCCTCTGAGCACCCCTGGAGAATGAAGAGTCCCTAGGTGACGCAAACGGTTAAGCACTTGGTCACTAGCGAAAAGGCTGGGCGTTCGAATCCACCCAGGGGCATAGGGTAAGACAGGCCTGATCATCTGCTCCATAAAGGACACAGGCATGAAAGATCATTTCAGTGTGATGCAAGGTCACTATGTGTTACAATAGACCTCATGGCAGCTGACTTGGTGACCACACATCCCTGGCCCCATGGCGTTGGGGATCGCTGAAGATGAAGCTGACTCAGTCGGCCAGCCTGGTGGTGCGCAGTGAGGTTCTGAGATGGGATGAATGCCATGACAGGAAGCGTTCAGATGGGAGGTCTGAATGAGAAGGTCTAGGATGAGAGACAAGGGAGGAGGAAAGCCTGCATGGTTTTTTTGCACATAAGTGCTTTGGCCACAGAGAAAACATAGATTAGTAAAGGATTTTCAAAATAAAGTGCATGACCTTATCAAGCAGAAGTTGACATTATATTCAGATACACTGGAGATCAAATTTCCCTTTTTTTAAAAAAAACAACAACAAGCAAACCAACAACAACCAAATACAACTCATTCAAATAGTGAGGTTGTAGGAAAAAGAAATAACTTTCTAATTCTCAAATATAGAACAGCTTGAATAATAACTCATGGGTTTTGAAATGGGTCGTCTTTTTAAAAATGGGTCACTGTGGCTAGACTCACTGCACTTAGTGACTTTCAGATTGTGAAAGGTCAAGTTCCTTCTAAGGACTGACTGCTGCAGAACCTACAGAACAACAGAGGAAGGCGATTAGGAAGAAATGAGAAGGAAATGGCTTTCTTCCCAAATGAACAGGAAATACTCTACTGGCTTTTAAAAAAATGGATATGCTCAGTTCATTCTTTTGCTTTTTGGTAGGGCTGCTGTAAACAGACTAGAGGCCTAGTGGGTAAGGAGATTCACAGCCAATGCAAAGGCAGACAGTTCAGATCCACTAACTGTTCAAAGGCAGGAAGGTGGACAGCCTCTTCTGATGTGATTTATAAGAAATCTGAAAACGACTTAAGTGTCAGCAGGAGTTGATTCTGATTCAACCACGATGAATAACCACAAACTGATTCAACTTAGGTTTTCTTCTGTATGATTTGCAGGGTCTGAAAACCTTGTATATGTGGCCTCAACACTGATGACTGATTACTGGTGTTTTAAGGGCTTATGATGACCATATTGTTCTCCTCTGCCAAGGATAACAGATCACCTTTAGTCAACCAAGAATGGTACTTACAGCTTCAACAATTATGTGACTCTTAGTAATCACTGCCAATAAATATGATTTTGAGGAATAGTAATAATACAGTTCATCATCTGGAAAGGAAAACAACTAAGAACTGACAGCCATCCACACTGCATAATCATCAATGTGGTTATGTCCCGTTGAGTTGTAAGGACCCATGGCTCATCTGCCAGTGGGTTTTCAGAGGCTGTAAACTGCATGCAAGGAGACTGCCTATCCTTCTCCCACATGCTTTCAGGTTGGCAGCACAGTTTATTACCACTAAGCCACCATCATAGTAAAGGTAAAAAATCCCTCATTGCCATGAGTCAGGACTGACACATAGCTGACATTCCAGTGGGGGTTTTTTTGTGTGTTTTGTTTTTTGGGTTTTTTTTTGTTTTTGGTATTTTTTTTTTTTTAAGGCTGTAAATCGAGTAAAGGGAGATTGCCCTTCCTTCTCTCTCAGAACTGCTGGTGGCTTCAAACCGCCAGAGCGGCAGTGCCTTTAGGATTAGCAGTGCAACTCCGGACGAGCTGCACCACCAGAGCTCCCTCAGTAAAGATGCATGAGTAATTTCTAAGAGAGTAATTAAGCACATATTGAACACCAGATCTGAACTGTACATTGTCAATAAATTATCTCAGATGATCATCAGAAGCACTTGGTTCAGCAACAGTCAAGCTCCTGTGATCTGGAAAAGCCAGGATCTTGCTAATAGTATCTGTTCACGTTCTCAAAACTGGTTTTCCCCATTGTTTCCTCTCATCCTGCTTCTAACAGGTCCAGACTCGAGCGGGACCTTTATCTCCTCTCAGATTGAGCAACTGCACCCGAGACACCTCTGAAGCCTTTACCACAACTTGCCTGTAGCCAGCCACTTTGGATGTGATGGGTAGGTGATCTATAACTGGTGGTAAACTTATAACAAATGTTGCTTGTCTGAGACAGAAGGACGCTGTGCACGCACCATAGGTTTCATATTATCTTTTGCTTTTTGAAAAGCTTTGGGATGTAAACCCTTAATGAAATCTTACTTCTCAATGTAATAGCCAGTATGGGACATATAAGCTACTGCTGGACAGTAAGCACATACTGGCTTATATAATCATCTTTATTTCTGAAATCATCATGTTTCGTAATATAACTTAACATCAACTCACCGTTTTCTAATCTCAGGTCATGCCAGCTTGGTTATTTGGTATTCTCCACTCAAGCTACAACTTTTTCTATTGTTGTTGTTAGGTGGCATAGAGTACGACTCATAGTGATCCTAGGAACAACAGATCTGAACCCTGCACTATCCTGTGTCATCCTCATAATCTCTGACATTCTCGAGCTCACTACAGTCATTATGGCTATAGTCATTATGCCAATACATCTGGTTGAAAGTCTTTCTCTCTTTCACCTGCCCTCCACCTTTCCAAGCATGCTGTCCCTCTCCAAAGAATAGCCTCTCCTAGCAATAAGCCTAAAGTATACGAGACAAAGCTTTACCATTT